GAATTCGCAAACATATTGTTATGGAGGCTAACACATACAAAAGTTATGGCGGATACCTTGTCGACAAGTACTCCTACTCGGATAACCCCCCAGAGACTATTGGCTGGTCCACCACTGCCACCGATCTCGGATTCGTGGACGGCACTGGATACCAGTCCCCCGATATCATCTGCCATAAGGAGGGAAAGCCAGGTGCTTTGTCTGCTGAAGTTGCTGCTGGTGGCGAAATTGAACTGCAGTGGACCGAGTGGCCTGAGAGCCACCACGGCCCTGTTCTCAATTACCTCGCCCCCTGCGGCGGCGACTGCTCCGCGGTAGACAAGGCCAGCCTCGAGTTCTTCAAGATTGAGGCCCAGGGCTTGATTGACGGCAGCAGCCCTCCGGGCCATTGGGCTACCGATGACTTGATCAGCAACAACAACAGCTGGACCGTGACCATCCCGGCCTCCGTTCAAGAGGGTAACTATGTTCTCCGCCACGAGATCATCGGCCTTCACTCTGCCGGTCAGAAGGATGGTGCTCAGAACTACCCCCAGTGCATCAATATCAAGGTCACTGGCGGCGGAGATGCCACCCCGGCAGGTACCGCCGGCGAGGCCCTCTACAAGGACACTGACCCTGGTATTCTGTTCGACATCTACAGTGACCTCAGCGATGGCTACCCCATCCCTGGCCCTGAGGTTTTCAGCGCTTAATTCGGAGCTTTGAGTCCGATGTCAGTGGGTAGTTTGGGGGGTGGGAATGCCTTGTGGGGAAGTATGTAGAGGACTTTCTCCTCTATCCTACCTGACAATCTATTAGCGGTGGTTATGTATGCTGTCCATAGTTTTATTACTCTTCGAATGTGAATATTGGTTACTTCCCTTCGCATTGAATGGGCTCGAGATAATAGCTTAAATACTAACAAGAGAAAGAAAAGTAAAAGTTAAAAAAAAAAAAAAAGAAAGAAAGAAAGAAAGAAAGAAAGAAAGAAAGAAAGAAAGAAAGACAAACGGTATGCGCATCTTACTGAATAAGATAATCATATCAGGGTATACATCAGTCCAAACCTATACTTCAAATTCGGCACCATCTCCCAAATGGAACGTTATAGCGCTGTCGAACTTTGTGAAGCACTCAGCACTAACAATCCACGTTCTATCAGTCAATATAAGAGCACATAAGGAAGGACCTAAGGACATATGGTCCCAGTACTACTAACCTCGATGATCAAGTTCAACATCCGTATCCAGTCCATCATCCATAGTCGACAGCTCTTCGACCACGCCCCATTTCTCCTCCCATTCTCTTAGCAAGACCAGTTCCTCCGGCGGTATCACCGCATTCTGGCCCAATTCCTCCTTCATCCTCTGCACCAACTCAGCAACCTCAGCCCGGGACTTCTCCGTCGAACAAACAACAGTTATTGAGTATGCGCTCGCGCTCATGCTGACAATGCTGTACACCCCATCTCTGACATGATTACCGATAGCAATTGTGATCTTATCAATCGAAGCTGGTAAGCTGATGCTGATGTTCCGGAAATCCGAACGGTCGTGTACATTGAACCACGTTGCGTGGATGGCCGGTGGACCGGAGAAGGTATCTGACTGTGTTGCCTGGTTGGTTTCGCCCGGGTCCGGGGCTTGGTATTTTTCGGCTACAATGGGTGCTTTGCGCCTGGAACGCCATCGTGTTAGGTATCTCATGGTGGGAATGTTCTGTGTTGAATGAATGGGATTGCTTAGAAAGACCGGGATGTTTGGAAAAAAAGGGGGGGCCAAAACGAATCCTTTATGAGAGGGGGAGGAGGATCAGCTTAGTGGTATGAGCAGTAGCAGACATAAGCTGCCTTGTACTATAAAAGACGACCATTAGTTGGGAGTTTTATTATCAGGTCACGTCAGTGCAGGAGGATTCATATTTAGCCGGGGGGGGGGGGGGGGGGGGGGGGGGGGGGGGGGGGGGGGGGGGGGGGGGGGGGGGGGGGGGGGGGGGGGGGGGTGATCAGACACCATGTGAGGTTCCAAACCCTAGACCAGAGATGCTTCAATTCCTGTACAAATGCCAACTACGTAGTATTCCAGGTACCAATGCGAGTCATGGTTCGTTTCATTGGATCGGACCATGGATATCCACTTTCTCTCCCCCTACTTGACGCTAAAAACGGGATACGATTTAATATATCAATCAATCCATCATCAAATCAAACCACGTTGATCCAGAAGTACAGGACAAAAGAATCACACTACGGACGCCGACTTACTATACTCCAACTCAACATAACCCTCAACCCCCGCCCTCTCCAGACCCTGATCCACAGTCTTCCGACTCAAATCCATCCTCCTGAGCTCAAATTCCCCAAAATAGTTCGCCTCCTCCGACACCTTCCGAAACCCCGCGCCCTCAAACAAGCCCAAACTGCGCCCATTCCCCTGCCCAATCTTAACACTAAGACACGAGAACCTCCACCCACTACTACTAACGCCAGCCTCCTCCCCTAGAGCCTTGGCAGCAGCCGGATCCCCTCTCACAAACTCCTCCAAAATCTCCGCTTCATGATCAGCGATGTATCGCAGAAAAGCGAGCAGCGTGGCCTTCCCGTACCCCTTCCGCTGATTGCTCTTCTCAGCGATCATGAGCTCAATCTCGCCGATGATCTGGGGCTCCGCGTTCCCTTCCTCGCCGTCGTCAACCCGGAGGAAGAGATTCACGTCCCCGATCATCCGCTCGGAGCTGTCATCTTCATCGCGGAGTGGGGAGCCCCCCGTTCCTGTGGGGGAGGGCTGGCACACAATGAAGGTTAGTTTGTCCGGATCTTGGCGCCAGCTTTCTTGCATGGCGTATTCTTCTTCTAGAGAGAGTGGTTCTGAGGCTGTTGCTTCTTGGATTTCCTGGTGTTTGGTTGGCATTAGTTTTGGTAGGTTTTCCTTTCTTATCCTTTGGTATGAGGGGATTGCATCTAAGGAGAACATGGAAGGTAAAACATACCTCATCTTTCATCCATTCATGGTAGCGGGGGACGTGCCATTTGGAATAGGGCACTAAAAGCACCGTAGATGTCGAAATAGCTATACTGATCTGTTAGAGTACGTAACTTGGTGATTGTGGGTGGTGTAATTGATAGGGAAGATGGAAGCGGGCGTACCAGCTTTGGCATTTAACAACATTTTTTAGCCGTGTCTAGTTTTATATGTTCGAGGTACAACGTCTATATTACAGTAGATTTGTGGGGTGATCCGTAGAATTGGTCTAGATTGTATATTTCGTGGGGCGGGTTTTGGAAGATCAGATCCAGCGCCCAAAGTGGGAGAATTTAATTCCATTAATTGACCCTTTTTTTTTTTTTTTTTTTTTTTGATGCGCGAGTCTTGGCATTTGGGGCCACTTGAACATACTCTGATGCTTTTCTTGTTCGCTCCCCTTTGCTGGATCGTATCCGAAAGAATTTTTCGTCCTGGGAATGGGTGCTTTTTTGAGTAATTTATAAATTCAAAGCTAGAACTGCATGGAGTTCGGTTGGGGGTGGAAATGCTAATTGTAAACAGCCTAAAGAGCAGTCCTTTTCAGCATCAATATCACAGGTCCTCGTGTTCGATAGGTGAATACTTGTTTGGTCTATATTATAGCTATGTCATATTCTTGTGGGTATCTCATAAACCATCGATACCTAGTTTCACATATAAATCATTGCTTTTCCTGCTGCCCCGCGTACGTGCCAAATTTGACGACTTCTACCTCCAGCGTCTCGATATCAACCAGTACCAGCTCACCGGTTTCCTTGAACGTAGGAATGGATAACAGACGGACTCGTGGGCCAGATGTGTTATCATCCGTGCCGGTCATTTCGGTGTCAGTTCCATTCAGCTTCAGGGGAGCGTCGCCTTCTATCACCGCGGTCTTGAATTGTGGCTGGTTACCAGCGAAGAAGATATGCGGACACGCCTCCATCACGAAAGGATCATGTGTTTGGAATGGATAGGACCCTTTGATCGATTAGTAACTTCGTTCCAAGAGACTGTCGTGGGAAAAGAGAACTCACAGATCGTATCCGGTGCGGTGGGGACGCCACACCTCCAACGCAACATGGCCTCCATGATTTTAACCCTGGCCTCGGCATCCCCATTAGCATCAACAGCACCACTCGAATTCGCAAAATCTAGATAGCGAAGGATGTCGTCGACATTCTGGCCGCTCGAACCCCACAGGCGCCATCCCTCTATGTCACCTTCCCATGGGTTCGTTACGCTATCGAACCATCCAGGCTCTGGAATTTCTCCCGCAGATGTGGTGGGGTTAGAGCAATATGCCCTAGATCGCGGGAACATAGCTCGGTGGATACCCTGCTGAGGCAGTGAGAAATTGGCTGGGTCGCTTGCGCCTGCCATAAGGGTAACAGGTATACTGGGTAGAATCTCGGCGAGGAAGTTATCGAACTGGGTAATTGGAGAAGCATTGTACGCAGAGGCATCATAGCCATATTTCTTTGGTCCACTTTTCTTTTTTGAAGTAGCTGCATCTTCGGTAGGGTCGGTCGTCATGCTTGCACCGAGAGAATTTCCCGCAATCACAAGCCTCGTAATTGCAGACGCTTCCGGGGGTGCACTCCCATCATTTACTGGTAATTGGGAACCTGTATAGCCAAGGAGATAGTCTGTTAAGAGCTCCAGAGATAGTGTATCGCCCGATGTTCCCGTTATCCCAAGACCGCTTACAAAAGCAATCTTGCTTTTGCCGGTTCCTTTCTGGGAAGACTGCTTTTCATCCCTCTCCCACCGACGGGGTTGACGAGCCAGATCAGGTACCTTTACATCGATAACCTCAAAGTCTCCATTCGAGTTCTCAGTCCCGAGCACGGCAACTATAGCTCCTGTAGCCAATTGGGTCGATCTAAGCATGTTCCCAGTCAACCGCAGGCGACCGGACTCATCTTCCAGCATGATTTGTGTTAATTCGGGGTGGGCAGGATCAAGATAAGTCGGACGAGGGGGAGGGGCTAATGTAAAGTTCTGCCACAGCATTAGCAGGTACAAGTGTACGGGAATGAACACTGTCGACTTGCCTCTTTCGTCAGGTCATCCAAAATGTTGGGCTTCAATGGCAAGTCCATGTAGATTGTGCCTGCAACCCAGCAAAGCTCTCCTTGCCTTACATCGAGCACTCTTTCCACGCGACGAGCATGCTCCCCGGCAATCTGTTTAGCAATCCAAACGTGTTAGCATACATTCGACAGAGACTGTCCTACATGCTCGGTCCATGTGGTGTGATTGCGCACAAGATACGCCCCATGCCATCGGAAACCCAGCGGGCAATTCTTACACTGAATCCTTCCCATGTCTCTACCGCAATTTCCTCCACTGCCGGTTTTAACTTGGCAAGTCGCAAGAAGTACATATCGCCATATTGTTGTTGATAGTGTCTTTCCTGACCAGAAGGCAATTGAAAGGTATGGAGAGGGTTATAACTGGAGGTGGAACGATAGATGGGTGCATGTTCTTCGTCGCTGCGATTAAGAGGAGAATGATTGTCAGTCACTGATTGACCATACAGCTGGGCGCGCAGGATGGGTGGGCACACCTTGGAGGGCGCAGAAATGGGTTTTCTGTACTGCCGGAAGCCATCTTGTGAAGTTGCTCCTTCGTAGCAGGAAGGCCGGAATCGTTTAATAGAGAATTATATGCCAACCCGAAAAAAGTAAGATGTGTTTGTTGTTGTGAACGGTGAGTGCTATTTTGCTCTGTCTCGGAGTCGCAAATGAAGTTCAACGCGAATCACGCGTCTTTTGGCGTTCCGCGGGCTGCGTAATTACAGTACCGCTTTGGGCCAAGGCCGTTGGAGCGCTTTTTAAGCTATTTAACATGAAATCTCATAGATTTTACTCCGTACCAATCATTCAATTGATATGTAAAGCAACAATATGTTAATTAAGTAGAAAGAGCATGCCTCTACCGGATTGAAGCAGCGCAAGCAAAAGACCAACCAGCACCAAATAATTTATTGGTCTACATCGACTCGGATCCGACATCCTAGAATGATGGACTAGCAATGGATTGAATTAACGTTGATCGTTCCAGACTATTTCGAACAAAGTGGATGCTTCGAATTCCTAAATCGGGAAGAAAGACCGTTTGAAGCTTCAGTTTTTGGCCTTGACAGTGAGCCCCAGCGCCGATATGCTGCAACCTGAGAAGGGATACGAACTTTGGACTGGCCAAGGGGGATGGCGGAAACTGTAAAACATAGAGAGATACCTTCATGAGCTTTGAACACTCAACTGTCTTAATTTGGACTTCTGTTCTGGACATGAAACGTGCGCGTTATGTACTGCCAGAATCACTAAAATATGCCCATGTCCGTGATAACTGTCGTGCAGAACCCGAGAGATGAGGTGGAACAACATGCAATTTCAAGTAGACTGTAATAGGTAAGTTGTCACAGGAACAATTTACAGTTGCAAGGGATGGGCTCAAGCCGCAGGGGACACGCTGCTGTCCATTCCACAGGCCACATTCCTTCATCAACTTTGATTCACTTTTCGATCGGTCATTTCCTTAAGGTTGTTGACATACTGCAATACTCACTTGATTGGCCATGTTCTTTCCTTCTCCTTTCCTGAGAGTATTCTGGAATTGGAGGCAGGAACATGGCAGGGAATGGAAGGGGCATCTTTCCCAAGTATAATATGCCTCTTTTATCTAGGCCGCAAATGACTTACCTCTTAATATCCCAAGTGCCTCTTATTAACTCTACTATCTTCAGTGGTTGAATTGTTGTGGATTCTAGGGGCTTTCTAGGCCGCCTCAAAAAGGGTCAAATATATCACCAGCAGTGTTGCATATACCCATTTCTCCGAATATGAGGGTATCACGTACATTCGGCAGTCTTATAGGCAGTTTTATGGTTCTCAGCATGTTGCCATATATCCTTGCGGCATCATTCCAGTTGGATGCCTTAGTGAGCAGCCTGCCATACCGTTTGTTTCAGCGAAGCCTACCAGGGTCGCTCGGAACTGCCCCCGAAGGAGCAGTAGGCTATCAGCCGCCACCCGGACCTGTTGTCAATAATGCTCAGCCGACAGAGACCAGGCCAGTGGTGGATACGACAGCGACAGTGGCAAGCACAACGGCCACTCAAAGTCTATCGCGCGAGTCGAAACAAGAGGCAGCTGAACTTAACGGCGCACCACCTGTGACAGCGTGAGTTTCCGTGTGCGCAGTATCATCGAATTATGCAGTTCACTGATTTCAAGATCTGAAGTAACCCGCGAGACAATGTTGCCATCCTGACTGGAACCGCAACAAAGACACAGGCGATGATGGAGAGGACACAGGCGGCAACAGCTGGCCGAGATGTTGGCTTAACCCCAGCCAGCCTAGTCCTTTCAGTTGTCCTAACCGTATTGCAACTCTAAGGGAGGTCTTGCTCTAGCTGGTAGCTTATCTTCTATCTTGTCTTCCGTCTAATGGCGTTATACTCCTAAGACCTTTGTTCCTGTCTTTTGACTTATTACCGAACACTCTATTCTTCAGTGACTTTCAATCCTGGAGCCAAGCTCGGAAATGGCATCGGCGATCGTCCAAGTCAATTGGTCTTATGAAGAAATGTATAAAGCTCGTGGGAAGATATCATAGACTTCTGACTGTAAAGAAAAGAAAGTTTATGAAATCTTATACAGCGGCGTATGATGAGCATAACTAACAGTACGTAGGGTCAGATGTGGTGAGAGAGAGGGTAATGGAGCAACGAGAGAGCCGAAGCCTCGGTTCGGTTGGCGATCATCAGCTTTAAGGGCTCCGCTTCCCCGCATTCGTGCAGCAGACCCCAAGCTGTTCAAATCTCATATCTCTCCTAAATAATGCCCCTACATTACCCCATTGGCCATTGCTGGCACGAAGACCATCTGCCAGACTTCTAGCAGCCGCGGCTCAAGAGTACCGGACGGTAAGAGATGCCAACAGTGACTTCAGACTGTTATTCTTAAAAACCCCTGTACTTGACTGACGAATATAGCATCTCGATACCTTTGTACCTTATTATACTCTACTCCTGGACAATACTATTATATCCGTTTACTCCAACTACTACAATGTCTCTTCAAACTCCCCTCTGCTCACTGCTCAAGATCCAGCACCCCGTCCTGCTGGCAGGAATGGCGCGTGCCTCTGGGGCCCCTCTAGCGGCCGCGGTTTCCAACGCAGGCGGTTTGGGAACAGTCGGCGGTCTGGGCTACACACCCGAGCAGCTTTCAGAGATGTTGACCGAACTCAAGGCTTCCCTACGGGACCCTTCTCTTCCCTTTGGCGTTGATCTGGCCCTACCTCAGGTTGGCGGAGGAGCCCGTGCTACAAACCACGACTACACCCACGGTCAGCTGGATCAGCTCATCGACGTTGTAATCTCCCATGGCGCCAAGCTCTTCGTCTCCGCAGTGGGTGTGCCCCCCGAGCGCGTCATCAAGAGACTACACGACGCCGGCATCTTGATCATGAACATGGTCGGAGCACCCAAGCACGCCGAGAAGGCACTCAAGCTGGGCGTGGACATCGTGTGCGCCCAGGGAGGTGAAGGAGGTGGCCATACAGGCGACATCCCCTTCTCCGTGCTCGTCCCGGCGGTCGTCGACGTGGCAAAGAAATACAAGAGCCCACTGACGGGTCAACCTGCCCTGGTCGTGGCTGCTGGTGGTATCAATGATGGACGCAGTTTGGCCGCGTCACTGATGCTGGGCGCTGTCGGTGTCTGGGTCGGAACGAGGTTCGTTGCCTCGGAGGAAAGTAGTGCTAGTCAGTTGCACAAGGAGGCGGTCGTTGGGGCCCAATTTGGAGAGACGAAGCGGACCCTGGTCGTTTCTGGTCGGCCGCTGCGTATGTTGCCCAACGATTATATCAAGGACTGGGAAAAACGACCAGAGGAAATCGCCCGGCTGACGGCTAAGGGAATTGTCCCTATTGAACATGATTTCAACAACGACAAGGAGGACATTGAGATTCCTTACCTGATGGGCGATGTCTCGGGTATTATCAAGCAGATTAAACCCGCCGGTGTGATCGTACAGGAGATGGTCCAGCAGGCCGTGGAGGTGCTGAGAACAGGAGGGTCATATATCAACGCAGGACCTGCTAGCAAGCTTTGAGTGGAATAGTATCTCAGATATGACGCTGCCCTGTTGGGTAACGTTGAGGTGGATTTCATAGTAACATAATGATAACGTTTAGACATTCATGTTTTCACATGTACATACAAGTACAGAACGAAGGGAACAAAACTTGAAAGATCATGCTTTACTGCCTTTCTAAAGCTAACTAGTAGCATGAGAGAGCAACGGCAAGCAACAATCCTCATGCAAGAAGCCCTATTGCCCCAAAATTTGCATACATTAGAGATGCGACACGGAACATAGCCCAGCACAACACAAGACAGCATGCCAGTGCGCATCTTTAGATGCCAATCCAGCTTCACAGGGCCAATTGCCGAATGTAAATTTAGTAATAGTACTCAGCCAGATTGGGACATTGCCAACATAGACAAAGAGAACCCTGACCATTCAAGGCCGGCAATAGGTCCAAGAAAACCATACTCGACAAAAAGCAGACAAAAAGCGGGAGAACAGGACAATCGTCAGTGACATCCATTGAGCACGGCCTTGTTCCCGTTGGCTCGGGCCTCCAAGAGGTTCGGTGGTGGCGGCGGTCCAAACACAGGCTTCTCAGGCTGCTGTGGTGGTATGTTGCGATCTCCGTTCATGTCCCGGTCCGTGCTGTCTTCGTACTCATCATCACTGATGCCTTCGTCATCTTCTTCATCTTCGTAGTCTTCGTCGTATTCACTTTCTGTTCCCTCGTCATCGCCGTCTAGATCGGCCGCAAGACCTTGTCCACGACCTTGAGCTTGCATTCGGCGGCAAAGTGCTTCGAGGTGATGACTCTTCTTCCGCCACTTCTCAAGTTCTTCGTGGTTTCTGGTGCGTTCCTCGGCCATCTCGAGTATATTGCGGTTCGTCTGATCGTGTTTACGGGTGAGGGTGAGATTTTCCTTTTCCAAGCGTTTGGTCTTTTTCGACATTTCTTCCATTTCTTTGCGAAAAGTCAGAAACAATTCGTTGCTGTTGTTCAACGTATCCTCCACCTGCGATATTATTATTACCAGTCGATCAAAACCAGAGTCGAATCGGGTCATCGATCTCGATCCATACCTGCTTGAACTTCTCCACGTAGATGTTGAGCTGGCTGCGTAACTCGGCCTCGGTATGTGAAAACGTAGAAACTTGTGAACTTAAAGCCCGGCAGCGGGCGGCCTCGTTCTCGGCAGCACGGCGTTGCTCTTCATACTTAGCAGTGAGGCTCTGTAGCTCCGCGTCCTTGCTGCGCAAGAGTGACTTGTAATGCACTTCTCGCGTTTCGAATTTCTCGCCAATGGTCTTGATTTTGACACGTAGTCTAAAGCACGAAACCCTCAGCAACATACATTGCCTTGCCGGATAACAGTACTTACGCTTCGTCCAGGTCAATGTCAACTTTCTCACTCCGAGGATTGCCCTTGGCAGCCATAACGTCTTGAATGTCATAGAGAAGGGAATCAAGACGCTCGTTCACGATCAATCGCGCCTTCTTTTCGGTATCCTCTAGCTTCTTGTTCTCATCCTGTGGAGCAAAGGCCATCAATTTTCCGCATCGGAATCATTGCAGGCAAGAGCAACCCACCTTGACTTTCTTATTTTCTTTCGTGAGCTCCCTGCACAGCTTCTCCAGTTTATCCTTCATGGTCACAGTCTTGTTCAGTTCCGATTTCCCCTTGTCTTGATCCTTCTGTAGTTGATCGGCCCGCTTCTTGCTTTTGGAATAGTCGCGGTCCAGCTTTTTCATGTCGGCCAACAGTTCGGTGTACTTCTTATGTACGGTTTCAAGGCGGGTCATTGGAGACTCGATATTGCTGAGGAGCTGGTTCAGGTCTCGTGTAGCTTTCTTAACTTCACGCTCTGTAGTCAGTTAGTACCTATCCTCCACACCCGAAAAAAACTAAGTCGACAAATATTTCATTTGCGGAACCAAACCCCGGAGGCAGATCACGCACCGATTTCCGCTTCTTGGTCTTTCTCGCCAGCAGCATCCTGCTCCAGCTGCGAGATTTTTGCGGCAAGGAGTTTGGAAGTCTCATTCGGATCGGCCACTTTCTTCCCTTTGTTCTTTTTCGACATGGCTGCAGATGACATTGTCGGCCGTTACCAAGTGGATAAGGCACGAGTAGGTTGTGCGGTTTTCGATCTCGTCAGCGGTGGTCGCGTGGCCAATCCACGAAATTGAAAAATGCGCAGACGGGACGGTGAGCGAAGCGGGCGTAACCAATCGGTGGCACTGGGGCAAACTCGCAACGTTCGTTGGCACTTCCCAATCCTACCCCGATAGGAAGGCTCTCGACGGTCTCGAGAGGGCGACGCTTTAGTCCAGGCCGAGCACTAGCGGAGAGAACCCTGGTAGCCTTTTGCCAGACTCGCAGAACTCGGAGGTAATGGATCACCAAGATCCTACGCAACCCAAGTTCTGCAGAGTCTCGGAAAAAACACGCGAGCGGAGGGCAAGCAGCAGTGTATGCTGTAAAAGTGCAGCAAGCAATCTTGCGGGGATCGACGAGGGAGCGGCAGGTCTTTCGAGGAATCTTTTGCCGGGGAAGAGAGGATCGAATGGAAGCCAGTGAGTGGTAAGAGGGGGTATGTTGCGCACTTGACCAGCACTAACCCCGATTCGAAAACTTCTCTTGGCAACCAATGATTAACATCAATCCATTTCAGTTCTCCAACCTCTCCAACTACCACGCTTTCATTTTCACCAATTGCTCAAAACCGATTACACACCACCGAACGGTCATTCAAATAGGTCTCTGGAGCATTAGAAGAGCGTCTACCGCCATTTCGTTGCGTGCCTGAGGTTTTACGCTTCCACCCGGTCCGTCCGGCTGACGTGTGAGTGGTTCTTCCGATTTATTGCCTTCGGTACCCTACAAACGGCAACGGACTTTCTTGCCGGGGTGAAGAACTATACCAAGGGTAGAGGGTACCTCAAGAAAACTCCGCGGCCCTATAAGTAGTATCTCTAGGCTGTTCTTGCCTTATTTGACATTGTGCAACGCGATGTTGCGTTCTTCTCTGGGGACAGGCAAAAGCCGAGTGCCTGTGTTGCGGCAGCCTACCTATGGACGCTGGCTAAGATCCAACAATCATTCACTTCGGTGGAATCAGTTTCGGAGAGCTGCGTCGACAGTAACTAACCTCGAGAGCTACCCTAACGTGGGAGAGCAACTCCATGGGTTCACTGTTCAAGAGAAAAAACACGTTCCAGAGCTACACCTCACTGCGGTCCGGTTAAAGCATGACAAAACAGATGCGGATTACCTCCATGTAGCAAGGGAAGACAAGAATAATGTGTTTGGAGTGGGATTCAAGACCAATCCTCCCGATGCGACGGGCGTTCCTCATATTTTGGAACATACTACGCTATGCGGTAGCGAAAAGTAAGAATTCCCTGGCTGAAGCTCATATAGAAAGGATGTCTTGAACAGACCTTTTCCCGCTTTCAAACAGATCATATGCTAATACGAAATACCTCAAAAGATATCCCGTCCGTGATCCCTTCTTTAAGATGCTCCCCCGGTCTCTTTCGAATTTCATGAATGCTTTCACCTCCGCCGACCATACCACTTACCCATT